GAGGCGGCGGGTGTGGGATGCCGGCCGCGGTTCGGCGCTGGTACGCAGGCGTTACGGGAGGCGGGGATTCGTTTAGGCAGCAGGAAGGTTGCTCAGCCTTCCCTGGAGCAGGGGTGAGCGCCGTGAGCGGCGGGTCCCTGCCTAGGCGGTCCCCTTGGGCGAGCGGGGGCACCGGGCAGCTGTGAGGGCTCCCCGGGGGCTCATCTGTGGCTCTCCACGCTGCACTGCGGATATCAGTGCTGGTTTCTTACCGACTTGGCTGTTGTTAAGCATCTAGCTGCGTCAGTAGTAGTAACAACAAGGTTTTTGTTATTTATCTAGGGCATACCTAAAGCTATTGTGGTTCTTGTTTCTTAACTCGTTCTTAAGGAAAAAAGTGAAGGGGTGGGAGGTCACTTCTCTGCGATAATATGTTGTAATTTGTGTGTAGGCATCTGAGATGTGCTTTGGCAGCATTACAGCAAGATTTTTAATTTCACATTAATTAGTTGCTCAAAGCTTCATTTGGGAGATAAAGGTAAAGTTAGTGTAGTAAGAAAGCTTTTGTGAAACAAAAATAGCTGTAGAAGTGCATAATGCAATCATGGTAAGGTTTTTTTGGAGGGTGACTGACTTATATTGATGATTTCTGTTAAGTGATTTCAATGATTTTTATTAAGTGATTTTAAATTATGTCATTTTAATGCTGATCCTTAGCGGAGGAGAATGAGTGGATGCAGATTTGAGGGACAAGACATTTTTCCCTGTGAGGTAGGGCTGTCAAGAAATATCTCTTAGGGGTCCATTCTGCAAACCTTCCTGTGCAGATACAAGGCCTGGGTCACACTGTTTATATCTGGAGCAGACAGAGCTCATGTAACTTGTATGTTAATCCCGGAGCAGTGGCCAAGAAACAGGCTTGAGTTTCCAGTCTCCCCTCATGCTCCACCAGCAGCCTGTCTCTCACTTCAGTACTTCACTTAGTTCCTTATGGACTGTGTTTCACCAAGCTGGAAACTTCCTCTGGAGAATGAACCAGTGACTTGTGTCTTTAGAAGGGTATGAAACCCAGCTTACGGGCCTGTCAGTTGGTCCGCATGCCCTCGCAGGGAGAAGAGTCACAGACGGGACTGTAATTTGCTGTGCTTTATGTAAGGTTATAGTCAGCTTGAAGACCTGTGACAGTAGTATAAAATTGGTATGTTTTGTTCAGTAGTTTAGAAAGCATACCTAACTGAGGAATATGTCTAATGTTTCTATGTATCCTTATCTTAATTATGAGCTTTTAGGGAAGGCAGAGAAGAGATGACAACCATTTATAAGACGCAAGCTTCACAAAGAGTGTCTTCCATCCCTATATGCTTTTTCTCTGCTTTTCGTTAATGTTTGCTATAAAACTAGGTTTGTTGCAAGTCCAGAGCAGGTGTATTGTTTTGGGTTGGTGTATTGTCTGGCTTTCTGCTCTAGCTAAAAGAAGCGCTCTGATCCAAGAAACCATCTTCCTGTTTTCCCTTATGTCTTACGGTTCTTGGTTGTAAAGATTCTCAGGTTTTCTTACAGTTCTGTGCTCGATAACCATTTCTTCTTGTTTCCCCAGAATTATAAGAATGTGCTTCTGTTTCTCCCTTGTCCAATATCTGAAGGCTTTTTTAGTTCTCAGAAGGCACAGAGCTCTAAGTTCACCTCTTCCCTCATTTAAGTAGTTTTTAAAAAATTTTATAGCTCCTGGGCTGGAGGATGTTTCCTACAGTAAATATGCTGGTCTTGAATCAAGAAGCTGTAAGCTTTCTGTGGCAAGGAGTGCTTACAGGCCAAGTGTACAATCAGGAATGACGTAAGGTCAGTTTGTGGTCACTGAATCCAGGACAACATCAGCATCCTGACTCCTGGAGTCAGTGCATACATCGAAACGCCTTGTGCACTGTCATGAAGTTAACGTACGATGTAAATAGCCCGCTGTGTATCAACAGGGATTCTGATGATTCAGCCAAGAAATGCTTCAGTGGTAAGAGGATGGAAACTTTGCCCAAGAGTTAAGAAAATAGGATTGATTGGTCTCTGAGGATGCTTTTACTCAATTGAAATCACCTGAGCAAGAACAGCAAATTCTTTTAACAGCCTTCTGTGAGCTCTTAGGATTTCTTTTGAGAATGTACTGTAAAAGTCCTAGCTTCTACCAGCATGCAGTAGGTAAAAATGAGATGGTTACTTTAACATTTTTTTAAACAGCAATATCCTCTTGTATACCATGAGTATCTCAAACTTCTCTTAATTTTTATTAAGGTGAGAAACATAGGAAGAGACAAGCCAATGACTTTGAGAGGCTGCAGTGGAAGTGAGTTCTGTGGATAACCTCTGAGGAGGAGGAGGACTTAGGTGTTTGTACCATGGAATTAGAAAAGAACAGCGATGTTAAAAGTGAAAGGAGATGCTTCAATCAGACCTCGCGTCTTTTTTCTTATTCTGAGGAAGCCAAGCGCACGCTCGTCGGAGATGTTGCAACAGGAGCTAACCACTCTGATTTTGGCCAGGCACATTCTGTCAATGTTTCAGAATTAAAGTTGTCAGAGGAAAGCTTGCCTTACTTAAGTTCATCTTTAGATGCAGATATTGAAATGTATAATAAACGGAGAATGAGAATTTGCTGTGCCTGGGTAGATGAAAGCAAGAAAGCAGCTGATCTATTGGAAAGGGCATATGACAGTACACACTCTAATTGCGGGGTGTGTGATGATTGCAGACAAAGCCATTTAGGTGAAGATTCACAGCTGGAGTATCTCAGTGCTAATGAGCAAGATTTTGATGATAGGAATAGCTCAAGTGAGTTTTCTGAGCAAAGGGAAACTATACGAATTGAAACCTTAAAGCTGATAGATCCAGTTCATGAAGTTTCACGGGATGGAGTCATAAAGGAACAAAATCTTGTTGATGTGTCAGAAGATTGTTCTCCTGCTTCTGAGTATGGTGTAGGTGACCAGACCTGCCCAGAAGCAGCTATGCCAGAGCTTCCCCACCTGCTTCAGGACTCTCTGTCTCTGCCAGATTGCAATGGCGTGACTTGTGATCATCAGGAAGAGCAAACAGAGTATCATAGTGTTGTTTGTGGAAGTATACTTGAAAGTCATTCTTGTGGGAGTAAAGAAAGGGTCTGTCCAAATCTGCTTGTATGTGACAGTTTAGAAAACGGAGAGCTGAAAGACGTCCCACTGATTGATGGCACACTGTCACCCCAAACGGCTACAAGTGAAGAAGTGTCTGAAAACAATGACAGACACATTCACAGCATCTCAGTGAAGCAAGACAATCCTTTAGCATCACCACGGGAGAGGGCCCCTGCAGTAGCCACGCAATTTTGCGAATGTACAGGGGACCCTGCTTTCTACAGTTGTGAAGAATCCAGTGTGTGCACACGTGGTGCCAGCTGCGTTGACCGCACTGCAAAGGATGCCGAAACCCAATTTCCAGTCTGTGCAATTCTCACTAGCAAGAATCCCTTTTTTGAGGTGGAACTTGCAGATAAATCCTCCTGTGGAAATACCAGCTGTCTGAACTCAGAGTTGGAGCATCAGGAAAACCTGAAAAACGTTAGCAGTCACTCTGTGGTTAACCAGGCTGTTGATGTGAGCTCTGATTTTAGAGCTTGCTTTACAACAAGCAGAAGTACCAGTGCTCAGGTTTGTCTCTTGTCCAGGGCTATTAATACAGAGATAACAATGATGAACAAATCTCGACCTGTGGGATGGTGCCGTGAAACCTGTGCAGACATTGCTTGCAATACAGACTGGTCATGTGGAACCAATAGTACAGAGGAAATTCGGCCACAGCTTACTGAGATGCTGGAAAAACACTCAGTTGGCAATACTGCAACAGCTGAAAGAAGTTCAAAAATTCAGGTAATTTAAAAAACCACAACCAAACAATTGTGATACATAGAACTTTTTTTAACTTAAAGTTGCTTGGAACTTGTCTATACCAATGTTAATCTGTAACTTTTTAAAATGTTTTTTTGTTTAGGAACAGCAGG